AGTGGGCATAGTGTGAACCAGCCTTCAAAAAGTAACTCCACTTGAGAAAAAAAAAACAATCTCCTTTGCGTGATGTATGTACATTGCAGTGACTTTAACAAACTTTATAGCAGATTCCTAACATTTGTTGCACTGAAGAGAAAAATGTTTGTTTTACCATGTCCTTTGCAGACTGATTCTGAATGGAAAAGACCGATTCATTATAATCACCTGGTGCACGCTCATGCTCCAATCTGGAAAGTTGCACTGGCTGCATCCCTTTAGGCTACATGCAAATGGGCATATTTTCCTGTGCAGCATATAGACACTTTGGGTTGGGTTACTAAAGCTGGAGAGTGCAAAATCTGGTGCAGCTGTGTATAGTAGCCAATCAGCTTCTAACTTCAGATGGTTCAATTAAGCTATGAATGTTTTTGCAGAGCTGCTCCAGATTTTGCACACTCCAGTTTTAGTAAACCAACCCCTGTGTATTTTAATTGTCCTATATTTCCTTGAGCTACGTACAGTCCCCATGAACATGAATTGGTGAAGCCAGCTGTATGCACCTATATACATAAAGAAGTGCAAAGCTTACAGACATAATGCACCAAACGCACCTTGGATGCATATGGTGCACATGTGCCTGAATGTGCACTACTGTATACAACTAGCTGCCCACAGCTGTGTACATCTGCTTCACCCATTCACTTCTATGGATGGCTGTACATAGCTCTAGGGCATCCAGCACACCAGAAATGCGCAGTGTCTTTAGGCTGCATGGACAAATACATCCATGTGCATGCAGCCTTAAAGGATAAGCCCATCTTTGGGAACATGTTGCATGTTCCACTCGTTTTTTTGGGTGGAACATGTTACATGTTCCAGCTCCTGCTGCTGCTTGGAGATCTGAACCCTCTGTGTGACAGCAGTACAGGGAGAAGTTCCCTGTACCAGCTGTGCGCAGCCGTGCGGAGCTCTGCTCTCAGCTTGTAGTGAACTAAAATGAACTACCGTGGTGCTGTTGAGCGCTCTAGTAATTCATTGTTTCTTCCTGTCAGAGTGTAACTGCCTGTCTGTACAAGGTATGGGCAGACAGCTACTGTACACTGACAGTCTGCAGGAGTCCTGCATGGCACCAGCTGATTGCGGTTCAAATGCTTTCTAAACTCCTAAAGAAATACACATTATTTCACCTGCAAAAAAATGTTGATTTATTATTTTTTTTATAGGTGAACTTATGAATTAAAGTATTTAACCGCTGAGAAGTAGCTCACCAAAACTGAAATTCCTAAAGCAGGTGGTGCAAAAAAATTGACTATATAGCTATGTTAGTACAGACTTCTGGGAAAATCAGTGAACCAATTACGCAAGCAGGAAACTACATTTCTGGGGGTGTCCTGTACAGAATGCTTTCAGGTTGCCATATTGCATTGAATTTAAAAAAAAAATTACAAGGGCTTTGGATTGAAAAAGAAAGGTAATTTTTAATAACATTAAAATGCAACTAAACTCACTTTAACAACTTTTTTTTTTTTTACTTAATCCCTTTCCCCTCCCTCTTACAAAAAAAGTAATAATAGTATCCATTTTTATAGTTTTATTTATTTTTGTGCTGCAAAGCAGCACTTCTGGGTTTCAGGCCTAGGCTGGACCCTGCGTCACAGCTATCCCAGGAGGTGGTGTGTCATTAAACTGCAATGTGTGCATGCGTGGCGGATTTGCGCTTGTGTGTGCAAACTCCATCAGGCAGTATAATGGCAATCTTCCAGAAGCTGCACACATGGAGAAATCCCCCCATGAAGGCATATATCCGCCACCAGTCTGTGCCAGATCCTGGATACCTGGAAGACACCAGTGGCACATATGCGCCATAGTTTTAAATATGGTGGCATGAAAAAGGGGCAGGAGAGCCAATGCATTCAGTGCTTTAGTCCTGCTTTAAATTACAATATGACTTGTGCAGAAAATGTATATGCTGTATTATTTTATTTATTTGCTTTTTTCCATTAAAGTGGAGTTACCCTTTAAGCTCAGTGAACACTCCCTTTATTAAGTGAACTGACTCTCCCCCTCTTAGCAAATCCACCAACATCATTTTATTTTTCTGTATTAATAATTCACAAGGGACCACATTGAGCGTATTCTTCATCTGCAAAGGACTACATTGAGCGTATTCTTCATCTGCAAAGGACTACATTGAGTGTATTCATAATCCGCAGAGGACTACATTGAGCGTATTCATAATCCGCAGAGGACTACATTGAGCGTATTCATAATCCGCAGAGGACTACATTGAGTGTATTCATAATCCGCAGAGGACTACATTGAGCGTATCCATAATCCGCAGAGGACTACATTGAGTGTATTCATAATCCGCAGAGGACTACATTGAGTGTATCCATAATTGGCAGAGGACTACATTGAGCCTATTCATAATCCGCAGAGGACTACATTGAGCGTATCCATAATCGGCAGAGGACTACATTGAGCGTATCCATAATCCGCAGAGGACTACATTGAGCGTATCCATAATCGGCAGAGGACTACATTGAGCGTATCCATAATCGGCAGAGGACTACATTGAGCGTATCCATAATCGGTAGAGGACTACATTGAGCGTATCCATAATCGGCAGAGGACTACATTGAGCGTATCCATAATCTGCAAATGACTACATTGAGCGTATTCATAATCTGCAAATGACTACATTGAGCGTATTCATAATATGCAAATGACTACATTGAGCGTATTCATAATCCGCAGAGGACTACATTGAGCGTATCCATAATCCGCAAAGGACTACATTGAACGTATCCATAATCCGCAAATGACTACATTGAGCGTATTCATAATCCGCAAATGACTACATTGAGCGTATTCATAATCCGCAGAGGACTACATTGAGCGTATTCATAATCCGCAAATGACTACATTGAGCGTATCCATAATCCGCAGAAGGCCACATTGAGTGTATTCATAATCCGCAGAGGACTACATTGAGCGTATTAATAATCCGCAGAGGGCTACATTGAGCGTATTAATAATCCGCAGAGGACTACATTGAGCGTATTCATAATCCGCAGAGGGCTACATTGAGCGTAGTCATAATCCGCAGACGACTACATTGAGCGTATTCATAATCCGCAGAGGACTACATTGAGCGTATTCATAATCCGCAGAGGGCTACATTGAGCGTAGTCATAATCCGCAGAGGACTACATTGAGCGTATTCATAATCCGCAGAGGACTACATTGAGCGTATTCATAATCCGCAGAGGACTACATTGAGCGTAGTCATAATCCGCAGAGGACTACATTGAGCGTAGTCATAATCCGCAGAGGACTACATTGAGCGTATTCATAATCCGCAGAGGACTACATTGAGCGTATTCATAATCCGCAGAGGACTACATTGAGCGTATTCATAATCCGCAGAGGACTACATTGAGCGTATTCATAATCCGCAGAGGACTACATTGAGCGTATTCATAATCCGCAGAGGACTACATTGAGCGTAGTCATAATCCGCAGAGGACTACATTGAGCGTATTCATAATCCGCAGAGGACTACATTGAGCGTATTCATAATCCGCAGAGGACTACATTGAGCGATTCATAATCCGCAGAGGACTACATTGAGCGTATTCATAATCCGCAAAGGACCACATTGAGCGTAGTCATAATCCGCAGAGGACTACATTGAGCGTAGTCATAATCCGCAAAGGACCACAGTGCACGTTTTTTATTTTTTACACTCCAAATAAATAACTGGCTGTAGTAAATCATTTCCTGGGTGACTTCTCCAGCATAATTCCTCCTTTAACACGGGTATTTAGGCCCTCTTGGTTTTCTGTCAGGGGGTAATCATGGGAAATATATTCATAGTCATGCATTTCATTTAGTACCAATTAACCTGCAAGTTCCAGCCATCCGTTCTACGAGTCAAGGGTAAATGCTCATTGGACTTGCAAATGACCTGATTGTGTAGAGTGGCTTGTCAAGGTAAAATGAAGAAAGTGAAAAGAAGAAAAGACAGAGCCTGATATATATATATAAAGAGATGAGTTCAGTGAATAAACCTACATGCATTGTTTATAAAACAGAGACTGAGCTGTATACAGCAAACACTGGGGCACTATTATAATCCTGCAGGAAGAAGTTCCAGCTCTCCGCAGCCCCGGGGCGTCAAGGCGCAGGCATCCCTTCCAGTGTAATGCGGTCCATGCATGCAACTCAGCTTGCAAGAAACTTTTCGGTATCCCTCCGCCCGCTATCTCGCTAATCACTCTGCCTACCGCTTTCTCCAATATATCAACTTCCCTGATGGGGGTTGTTTGATGCCTCAGGAATGGTAAATGTAAACTAGAGCCAAAGATTCACTCAACTACATGAAGATTTTTTTTTCTGAGCTGTGTGCCTAGTAGGAAATGGCAAAAGCAGTGAGGCAAGTCATTATTCCATAGTGATCAGCTCAGTGCAGTGGGATTGCTACTATGAGTAGTGGTTAGAGCAGGCTTGTAGGAAAAGGGCAGTTCACTTTTCTGCTCCGATTTTCCTTCTTTTTTTTTTTTTTTTTTTTTCTTTTACTGAGCTGTCTTCTGATCTAACCCAGATGAGTTCCTATTTTGTAAATCCGCTCTACTCCAAATACAAAGCAGGAGAAGCCATAAATCCGGCTTACTACGACTGTCACTTCGGCCAAGATGTTAGCAGCAGCAGCAGGCACCCTCTGGTGTTCAGTGGCAGTCCAGGTCTGCAGCACCCCAATCAGGATCTCTACCATCGGGGGACCCCCGCAACCATCCCGAGCCCCGCAGGCTATCAGCAGGCTCCTTGTGGGATTACGTGTCATGGTGACCCCAGTAAATTTTACGGATACGATCACTTACAGAGACAGCAGATTTTTACGACACATCAAGAGGCCGAGCTGGTCCAATATCCTGACTGTAAATCGTCCAGTGGTAATATTGGAGACGATCCAGAGCACTTAAATCAGAACTCTTCTGCTTCTCAAATGTTCCCCTGGATGAGAGCACAAGGTTGGGTGCAGTAAAAAGATTTCAACTTTCCATGTAACTGGGATAGCGCTAATAAAATGCACTAAGGTCATCCAGATTTTCCTTCTTAGGTCAGCACACAAGCTGTAGACACATGGATTTTTTTTCGCACAGTTGCTAAATCCCAGGAGCTTCAACTACTACCTGTTATTAACTCTAAACCCCTTTGTAAAGCTCCTGTAATTATAGAAAAAAAATACAGCAAGTTAGCTATATCCTAAATTTATCCTTTATTTACTTACTTATCTGTAAATTATCATTTAAAAAAAAAAATACATAGCATGTCGTTTCTATCTGGAAAGTCTTTAGTTGTATTCTATCTTGATTATTTCACTGAAAGTTGTAAAAAAAACAACAACACAAAACAAAAAAAAAACCTAGCATGCCATTTCTTTCTGGAAAGTCTTTAGTTGTATCCTGTCTTTAATGATGTAATTGAAAGTTGAAAAAAACTCTATAACATGCCCTTTTTATCTGGGAAGTTAGCTGTGTCTTTCATTTATTTATTTATCTGTAAGTTATATATTTTTTTAAATATATAGCACGCTCTTTTTATCTGGAAAGTCTCCATTTGTATCCAACCTTAATTAATAACAAAAAAAAAAAAAAAACAACAACTATAGCATGTCCTTTCTATCTGGGAAGTTAGCTGTAGCCTTTATTTATTTATTTTCTTCATTATTTATCTGTAAATTATAAATTAAAAAAAATAATATATATATATTATATATTATATCCCTTTATACATTTTTTAATGTAATTACTGAATAATTATTTCATTGTGATTGTAAAAAAAAAGTGGGAAGTCTTTTTAGCTGTATCCTTTATTTACTTCATTATTTGTTTATTATGAATACAAAACAATATCTTGCCCTTTCTATCTGAGAAGTCTCTAGCTGCATCCTGATTATTTTTAAATTTAATAATCAATTCATTAATTATTGTACTGTAATTGTAAAAAACATATAGAGAGAGAGAGAGAGAGAGAGAGAGAGAGAGAGAGAGAGAGAGAGAGAGAGAGATGAGAGAGAGAGAGAGAGAGAGAGAGAGAGAGAGAGAGAGAGAGAGAGAGAGAGTGCCCTTTGTATTTGAAAGGTCCCTTTAGCTGCATCCTTTAATTATTTATTTAATTATTAAGTTGTTGGTTATAACTACAAAAAAAGCAGCATGCCCTTTCTATCTGAGAAGTATCTAGCTGTATCCTATATTTAAAAATTAATTACTTAATTATTTAATTGCAATTGGGAAAAAAACCCAAACCCCTGTCATGCCCCTTATATCTGGAAAGACTCTTTAGGTAATGTCCTTTTTATTTAATATTGTAGCAAAATAATTTGTGTTGAAGAATCGCATGAAATGGCAGTTACATTTTGATATATATTTTATCATGCCATTTTGGGCTTTTACTAATTATTATATCTCCCTTTGTTGTGTTGCCATGACTTTGTGATGGCTGATAAATGACATTCTATAAATTCTGCAGCATTCCCGGTGTATTGTTTTATCCATATTAATGTATCAAAATAATTGATGTCACTCATTATTGAAGGCTTGCAGGAAATAACAGTAACCCTTTGATGTATATTTTATTGTACTATTTTGTGATTTTACTAAGGATTAGACCTACATTTGTGTGTTACCTTGACATTGGGGGGGATCATAAAATGCATTTGTTTATCTGTGTTGTGGAACGCCAGCTTTTCATGTTCTTGCTTAGCCCTGTTTATATCACTGGAGTCAGAGATGTTGATTTACTTAAGGCAAATAGGCTGTTCACGTTTCAAGGGAAGTTGCACTTTGTAAAGGAATTTCCCAGAGCTTAGTGAATGGAGTGAAGCTCTGCTGACTTCCCTCATCCAGTCACGTGCAAGAAAAAATACAGTGTTCGTATTTTTTCTCTGTATTTACCAGTTGGGCTCACATGCACCCTATAAAAAGCTTTTATGACTGTTTAGGTGTAGGAGGTTCTCCTGGGAGGGAGGGGGGGGGGGGTCAATAATGAACATCTTCAGAAATAGCATGATTGCTGCTGCGGGGAGTGGAAAAAAAACTAAAAGTTGTATTTATTGTGTTTTGATTAGTAGCCCCTGGGAGAAAGAGAGGAAGACAGACCTACAGTAGATTCCAAACGCTGGAACTGGAGAAAGAATTCCTCTTTAACCCTTACTTGACCAGGAAGAGAAGGGTGGAGGTGTCTGATGCTCTGGGACTCACTGAAAGACAGGTGAAAATTTGGTTCCAAAACCGAAGGATGAAATGGAAAAAAGAAAACAACAAGGAAAAATTGCCAGTCTCCCCCAAAGAGGGGAAGGAAGATGCCAAAGAAAGCATGGTGGAAGAGGACAGAGGAGGAGACACCAACTGACTCCCTAGTGATGAGATTTGCCATAGGCTGCTTTCATGGTAGGGAGAAGCATAGATGAGTCCACCATTAACTACTAATCCCCACAATGCACCAGGATCAAAATCTACCTAAGCCATGGGAGCAGGTGAATTGTGCTGAGAGCTCAAATCCCACCAGACTCCTCCAGGCATGCTGGGACTTGTGGTCCCGTCATAGCTCCTGAGATGCTGGTCACCAGTTTCTCCTGTACACATGTGACCTTATATAAGTAGATCGCTCTAAGACTGACCATACACTACACAATCTGATTGTAGACTCAATTTTAGATGCACCACCAACTATGTAGCACAAGAGCCTGCCTGATTTATTAATAATTGAAAAATTGCTTAAGCAGGCCATAGATTATACAAGTTTTGCCCTTCATGAGTTTTGTATTTAGAAGCAGCCCATTGTTATCCTATGGGGGGTTATTTACTAAAACTGGAGCGTGCAAAATCTGGTGCAACTGTGCAGAGAAACCAATCAGCTTCCAGGTTTTATTGTCAAAGCTTACTTGAAAAAAATGAAGTAAGAAGCTGATTGGCTACCATGCACAGCTGCACCAGATTCTGAGTGCTCCCGTTTTAGTAAATCTCCCCCTCTATGTCCATGCACATAGAGGCATTTTTTAAGCTCAGGAGGCAGGAAAAACCACTTCTGATTTGCGTTTTTGATTGGAGCTTTCTGGAAGGAAAAAAAAACGCTAAACTCAAAAATGCTCAAAAATCAGCATTTTTTTCTGCCAATGGAACTGGCGTTTTTTAAGCCTAATGTGCATGGCACCAAGAAAAAAAACTAAATTCCCCCATCAGGTAGATCAACTTGTGTACAACCAAGAGTGCCCATACATGGATCAACATTGCTGAACTGTCTGAATTCCGATCTCCTATTATACAATATTGGTAAAGCTGTCCATACATTATACATTTTTCCTATTCAATTTCCTTTAGATTTACCTTCAACTATGTAGTGCAAGGGCCTGCCTGATTGCATAGAGACTGAAAGTGTTTAGGTTTGACCTCAAACTATCTGGTTTTGGCAAATCTAAAGGAAAATTGTACAAATAAATTGTATAATGTATGACCAGCCTAACTCTAAAAGAAATTGTGCAGAGATTGTTCAATCAGATTGTACAGCCTTAGCATTCAACCATATGTACAATCAACTTTAGATCTACCAAAGCTATGTAGTGGTCTACCAGGTCTACCAAAACTATCCCACTATCTGTAACCAAGATCTGAAGGAGATTGTACAATCAGATTGTAACATGTGTGGTGAGGTTTAGGCTTATCATACACTATACAATCTGATTGTACAATCTCCTTTAAATCTATCATCGACTATGTAGTGCCGGCCTGATTTCTTACTAGTTAAATAGATTGTTTAAGTTTGTACTCATATTGCACCATTTTGATTGTACGATCAGATTGTATAGTTTATGGCCAGCTTTATGTAGATGTGAAATCTGCATCCTTCTATCACACTGCAGGAAATGTGCCATGCTCTTCTCTAGCACAATGCAAAATTATATAACGATAACTATGTTGTTAACGATCTTCTATATTTATGCAAAGAATGCAAATGCCTTATCAATCAACGTGATGTGCACTCGATCGTCTTAATTATTTGTACCGATTTCTTAAATTTATCGAGATCTTTTAAATTGGTTCTACTGTTATTATGATTTCAGATTGTTTGTATTTTTATATTTTTGTAAGAGTGGTTTGAAAATAATATTGGATTACTAAAATCTGAGACGATGTATATCTTCCTATGATATGTAATAAATAAAATGTTATTTGAAATGGCAATCCTCTGTGTTTTATTCCTGATGACATGGCAGCAATGTCATCCAAGGTGAAAGGCTGTAGCAGTCGCATTGTGTGTCTGGGTGGGTAGAAGATAGAACTAGATCCTATTCAGACGAATTACAATCGGGGGGATCCTTTTATCAGTTCATTAGTACAATGCAACACATTTATAAATACATTCACATACAAATAAACAAAGCAACAAAAATTCAGGAATATTATTATGTAGAAGAGAAGTATGCTAAACCCTTCACCATCACACTGACACTGCAGGGAAGCTATTCATAACAAAGAATATTTTAACAGTTATTTTTACTCTGACCTAAAGTAGCCAATCACTGGCAAGCGTTTCTAATGTACCAATTCATGGACACATCACTGGATATGTATACATGGGCCAGAATTAAAGAAAAAAAACACACACACACACAACAAAAAAGAAAAAACACCCACAAATAATATTTTATTCGTTGCTTTTTTTTTTTAACTTAAAATCCACAAGGATACAAATAATGATGTATGATAATCCATCCTAGTTTGAAAAAATTGCGTTGAAAAAAATTGAATACTTTTGCACATGAAATCAAAGCATGTAATAAGGCGTTTTACTTGATTTTAAAGGATACACAGAAACCCTCGATGGAGACAACACATGAATGTTATCTGGGGCTCTGGTGTGAATGGGCCTCTTTTATTGCTCGATGTTCTCTGGGGCCTTGTGAAGAAGCGACAAAGAGGCTGAAAATCCCCTTTCATCCTGATTTATTCTAGCTAGAATTTTGCAAGACTTTCACTAGAACAAACATAGGAACATCCTGATATATTACACAGAAAAGCAGCTGTATGATACGTGAGGAGGGCTGAACAAAAGTCTGAGTACATCCAGTATATGAGTACAACCAGTATATAAGTACATCCAGTATATAAGTACAACTAGTATATGAGTACAACCAGTGTATGAGTACAACCAGTGTATGAGTACAGCCAGTGTATAAGTACATCCAGTATATAAGTACAACCAGTATATGAGTACAACCAGTGTATGAGTACATCCAGTATATGAGTACAACCAGTATATAAGTACATCCAGTATATAAGTACAACCAGTGTATGAGTACAACCAGTGTATGAGTACAGCCAGTGTATAAGTACATCCAGTATATAAGTACAACCAGTATATGAGTACAACCAGTGTATGAGTACATCCAGTATATGAGTACAACCAGTATATGAGTACATCCAGTATATAAGTACAACCATTATATGAGTACAGCCAGTGTATAAGCACAACCAGTATATAAGTACAACCAGTGTATGAGTACAACCAGTGTATGAGTACAACCAGTGTATAAGTATAACCAGTATATGAGTACAGCCAGTCTATGAGTACAACCAGTATATAAGTACAACCAGTGTATGAGTACAACCAGTGTATAAGTACAACCAGTATATGAGTACAGCCAGTGTGTAAGTACAACCAGTATATAAGTACAGCCAGTGTATAAGTACAACCAGTATATGAGTACAATCAGTATTAAGTACAACCAGTATATATGTACAATCAGTGTATAAGTACAACTAGTATATGAGTACAATCAGTATTAAGTACAACCAGTATATATGTACAACCAGTATATAAGTACAACCAGTGTATAAGTACAACCAGTATATGAGTACAAACAGTATTAAGTACAACCAGTATATAAGTACAACCATTGTATAAGTACAACCAGTATATGAGTACAATCAGTATATAAATACAACCAGTATATGAGTACAATCAGTATATAAGTACAACCAGTATATGAGTACAATCAGTATATAAGTACAACCAGTATATGAGTACAATCAGTATATAAGTACAACCAGTATATGAGTACAATCAGTATATAAGTACAACCAGTATATGAATACAACCAGTGTATAAGTATAACCAGTATATTAGTACAACCAGTATATGAGTACAACCAGTGTATAAGTATAACCAGTATATTAGTACAACCAGTATATGAGTACAACCAGTATATGAGTACAATCAGTATATAAGTACAACCAGTATATCAGTACAATCAGTATATAAGTACAACCAGTATATCAGTACAATCAGTATATAAGTACAACCAGTATATGAGTACAACCAGTGTATAAGTATAACCAGTATATTAGTACAACCAGTATATGAGTACAACCAGTGTATATGTACAATCAGTGTATATGTACAATCAGTGTATATATACAATCAGTGTATGGGTACAACTAGTGTATAATTACAACCAGTGTATGATACAGTCAGTGTATATGTACAATCAGTGTATGGATACAACTGATGCATGAGTATATTCACTGTATGAGTACAACCAGCCTGTGTACAACAAGGGTATGGGTACAACCTGCCTGCTTACAACCAGTGTATGACTGTAATATTGAACTAATTCTATACTCAGATTTCCAGGCTGCTCATACTGTCCTACTACCACAGCTATGAGTAATAAATACAGACTATTCCCCAATGCAAAAAAAATGTTTATGCCTGTATATATATAATATGTCATCTTATGAATATATATCACTTCATTCAATTAATATCTTTTAATTTTATTGTGGAAAGTATTTCTTCTTTTCCATACTTACACAACACAGCTTGAGGAATACATTATTGCAAGCATTCCCACCCATTGTATATGGTTTCTGTGCATAACTGGGTGTGTGCTTTTTGTATGCCCACATCTTATCGAATAAACATGGAATAAACAAGATGTCATGTAAATATGGGTTTTATAATAATACATGTCCTTTGCAAATGTTATAAGCAAGGTCAGAACACAGTGTATGTCTGCAGTCTGCAAAAATAAAAAATAAAAAAATAAAAATAAAATAAAATATTGTAAAGCACTGAGCAAACTGTTGGGGCTATATAATCCTGTGTAATAATAATAATAATAACAATGATAATATTAATAAAACACACACATAAACGCATATGTTATTTACTATTGTAGCTCACATCACAAGCTACGTATGGATACTACCATATAGTTTAACAGCAAGATACAGAAAGCCCCCCCCCCATTGATGTTCTCGAAGTGAAAGCACCTCAGCTGTTTGTTTAGATATTATTTTATTATATAACCGTTTCCAAAAAATGTAATTGCTACTTAAATAAATACGTAT